TGTCGCGCGCGTGTTGCCAGTGCTGGTGTGGATGTGTGTGTACGCGCCCAGTGGTGAGAAAGCGCTCGGTTCGTGCGGATCGTTCACAGACGGGGAGGGAAGGGCGCGTTGTCACGAAATAGTCGGATTTGTTAGTCCGGTTCTACGATAGGTGTAATAAGCCTTCCGCTCGAAGCGTTAAATTGTAACGTAGACCTTGCTTTAAAACGTAAGCAGTAAATAAATTGACTAACCACGATCGATCATTCTTTTTATAAACTATTGGTCAGTTTCCTTGATGCTCGCGTCGTAAAGAAAAGTTGCCGGCCAAGGCAACAAGTCTTTTCGGCGCTGTCAGACGTCGCCATTCCTAAGATTTCCCTAAGCGTTATTGCAACTTTTAGCGATACCGAGAAATACCGTTTGCCATACGTTATATTTTATCGCTTAGAGCAGTAAGGTAAAGGCTTACTGCGTCTTGATAAGTACAATCTTATAGATCCGGGCTGAATTGATCTCTGCCGGGTAACGTTACCGCCGATTATTGACGTGAAAAATCGTGTAGAGAGACATACCCCCTTCGTCCGCCACTTCGCTCGAGCATCGTCGCGATCTTTGATCGCCAGGAAAGCCAATTCTCGCAAGACGAGACGGCGGTCGTCCTGGCGAGGAAGTCGAATCGGGAGCACAATGCACCGCGACTGCAATGTGATTCGTGTCGCGGATTGCCGGTGCGACGCGCGTAATCGGCAACGCGCGCGCGTGTCCGACTGGCGGAAACAGATGCTGCGGACGTACACGCACGTCCGGCGCGCACTCTCCGCTCCGCGCCGCGTCGAAGCCCCGCAAATTTCACGCGAGCCAATCGCGCTCGGTGCGTCTCGGAGATGCCGCGGCAGACAGGCTGCGATCTCTGCCACGTTCGTCAATCGAAGAACGAGCCGGTAAAATGATGTATCGCGCGATAAAAGTACACGCGATGTTCCTCCGCTTGTACCGTGAGATGTCCTCTGGGATTCTTTTCGCTAGGCGAAATTGAAGAATGACCGAGGACGCTTCGAATAAATTCCCGTTGCGTCGCGTATTATTTCGCTGCCGGAAACCGGCATTTTATAATGAGATCTTTAGAATATACGCAGTACAAAATTTTGTGTAAATAACAGTCTACCGATATTTTTATATTATTTTAATATTAGAATCGCACAGGTGCCAATTCTGCTCCTATTTTGATTTTCGATTACTGAAGAGTTATTTTAATATTATTCGCATTATTTGAGATTATATTCACATTTAACAATGATAAAAAGGGGAAAAAACTATTAACTAATACAAAAGTGTGTAGGATTTATAGCAATTGACAAAGTTAGCGGAGTCAAAATGGCACCATCGACAGTGTTAACTTTGTTAACAAAGTGAATATGTTAAAATGATGAATATGTTAATATAATCAATTTTTTAATATATTCTCATATCAAAATAACGCAAAAAGAGTTGTACAGAGACAATAAATCACGAACCATTTAGAGTTTAACATTTTTGGAACCCCGTACTTCCAGAACGAAAAACCGGATCAACTTCTTAAGCTATATATTTGTTTTCAGCTCATCGAGATTTTTAATTTCATATCCATTTCAACCATCTATCTCACTGAACGAATTTAGGAAACATTTTGGCCGCACTCTTACAGTGGGCCGTTATTTGCCAACATTTATTACTGCGCGTTAAACAAATTTTATTCTCAACGTTTTTCGAAAGTAATATTCGAGATTATAAAATAACTTTGTAAAAATATAACGTCACGCCGTGTTGTCATCCCCTAATTATACACTCTAATGAAACTGATATATTTTTACCGCGTCATTGAAACGACACCTAGACGCAGTAATAATTCCTCAATAACGATCGCAGTTTCTCGATATTACGCGTTCCGAGCAAAAAGACTTTTACGGCGAGCCGACTGCACTCGGCGCTGAGATAAGCGAGGGAGGACTGCAGTCGGATGTACCTGTATCTCACGAGCGTTATCAACCCTCGCAGTTTCGCTATTCGGTGGTGTGACGTGACCTTAATGCGATCCCCCTGGCGTCGGCGCAGCGACGTGCGAACAACCGACCGTTAATTCGAGGTCTTTGTTAGCCCGAGAGAGAGAAGGCCGTCGCGTCAGGGCGCCGCGCGACGCGCCGAGTGTTTCTCCTCCCTGTTGCCAGAATGGGGGTTACAACGTCCCGAGAGCCGCATGCGTCGCTCGTAGAAATCCTCGCGTTATGCATTTCGCTGACGGGGGATAGTTTCCAACATCGCGCGTCCGCTTCTCTGAAAATCGCCAGGATCCGAGGATCAGCGAATCATCGTTTGCGCACGGATACAAAGACGACGGTCATGATGCAGCCAGGGAGGAGCTCTTCTCACTCGCGAATTGATTCCTCCCGAAGGCATCTCCGCACGTACGTTACGCGCGTGTGCGTGTGAAAAGCCGTCCCGACGACAACGACTATCAAACGACGCGCGATGCGTGAGCGTTTACGTAGGGCGTCTCATTGATCGACACGCTTTTGCGTCACAACGCGCGATCAACCATTACACCAGACTTCCCACGCCGCTCGCGACAAGTGCGAAAAGTCGAACGCTCGTATATGGAAAACACTTCACCTTTGACCTCTTCGGAGAGGACGTCGCTTGTGCACTTCTTTTCTCCCGTTCTCTAAAACTGAACATCGATTCGGAATAATCAATGCGCGAGCGCAAAGTGACCATGTGCATACGCGCGAATACTTCTTGACGTCGCTCTGAGAGAAAAGCACTTGATATTTGTAGCTATGATTATATTATCACAGTGAAGGAATTCTAGCCAGAAGAAGGATTTTTCTCGTAAGTGTCACTATAGTGTCAGTGATAACAATTTTATGTAAAGTAGTGAGATACTTCGTAATGTTAGGAACAATAACTTCGCACATTCGCTCCGAGATTAGGATGCTGGTAAATCGATACACTTAACACACAGGCCGGTATTCATAGTCGGATTTTATGTTTAAGATAGTCTTAAGTTCATCTTCAGATGTTTCGTAACCAATAAAATGAGCCATACAGCATCTGAAGATAAACTTGAGACAGTCTTAAATATAAGATCCAACTATAAACCTTATACAAGACTTCGTCTTATTAAATCTCCGTTTATTTAATATAATAATCAGCCAATGCTATCGTTTTAATACTTCGAGTCGGTTTAAAAAATGTGAACGAGAGAGAGAGAGAGAGAGAGAGAGTTCTCGCTTCCAACGGTTTGCTTTATCTCCGCGTTTGCTTTTTCACGATCACCAGCGTTTCTATTTTTCTGTGCTGTCGGCGACAATAATAAATATATCATGCTCCTAACACGTAGTGTCTAGACAAAGCATTATTCGAGCTATCGTCCTTTTATTTTTGAATCTTGCTTACAGTTATATGTATGGTCAGTTACAAAAAAGTTGCAACACTTTTTTTCAATGAGTTTCGTAACGCATCTCGTATATCCAGTAGGAAAATGTATCTCCTGAGTATTACTAGAAAAACACATTTTCAAACGGGATGCATTCCGGGACATATAAAAAAAAACAGTTTAACACTTTATCTTTATATTTATTAACTTTATATTTATTTTATTCTCCTAATCTCATTCTTATTCTGATGCATTCATATACTATAATTTCCTTATTATTTATACTTTTTTTCATACTGTTTGTCGGTCTACGGTTTTATTTATTTATTGCGTATCAAAGGGTCGTCGCCGTTGAATAAAGATTATTATTATTATTAAGAAAAAATATTGCCCAACTTTTTGCGACTGATCATACATTGCTCCTACTATTTTTGAAATAAAGACCATAAAAAAGGTATAGTTGGGGCCGAAAATAACTATAATTTCTCTCAGTGCGACCTAGATGAAACTTCAACGAACCGCGCTTTCGTCAGATGTTGCGCCGAACGAAATAAAAGACCATATCGATACAGCCGGTCGGTGATTTCGTCCAATGCGGCCCGGCGGTTCACGTGAAAATTTCACGGATACTCGATTATACTTGCGATCGATGCTTCGAGGGGATGATCGCGCACTCCTTTGTCGCGCTCCGGTGCGTTTTAACTCCGCACACGCATCCGAAGATCTCGTGATATGCGCGAACGACTCGTTAATCCCCGCTTCGCGATTGTAATTCTGCGATCTTCCGGAATCTTCCGCGCAATTCGTGGATTTCGACTGACCGTGCTCCGGGTATCACGATGCATTTATGCGGTACGACGGTTCTAATGCATACGCGGAACACCCTCGAGAGGGGAGGAGAGTCATTGTTCGCGCGAGTCCTCTCGCATTATGCGTCTCGTTATGGCGCGGCGAACTTCAGATACGGCGAGGACGGCCCGACGCGGGTCGAATTTCCAAGGATCCTGTAATTAACGTGATAATCGCGCCGGGAATATACAGTGCGAAATCTGCATTTTGATTCGCGCGCGAGATCGCGATTTAAATGCGAATTAGTTCGAGACGTACCGAAGATCGTGGGTTTGAAATCGTTGCCGGCCACGTTAGTCGTTTGCGATTTCGTCATTTCTACACTTGACTTTTGACCCTTCGACATTCGCGGACGCGTTTATTTCTTCGGCGTTTCCCCCAACGGGGGAAAGGGAAAGGGTTGCTTCGATCGATGACAAACGGTCGATCCAATAACGAGAGTTTGATAACTACTTCCTTCGTACGAGTCTTCCTTTGTACGAATGTTGCGTGTTTTACATCTTGCGCGGTTTTGCTATAATTCACAATTTAATTTTAATTTATCTGAAATAGATACTACCTCTTACCACGTCTATTTATATCTATTTCGCTATAATTTCTATTCTTCAGCACTCTCTTCCTACCGATACATTTATTTAAGAAAACATTTTCCGCGAGACGTATCTGCGTATAATTATTAATAACTGTAATGGTACCACGTTCTATAAAATGACACCAGCGCTAAATGTAGATCGTTTTTTTTTTTTGGATTTTGCAGGGAGGTTCGCACGGTTGTATTGAATAAAGGTTCCTCCGGCCTGGGTTTCAACATCGTCGGCGGTGAAGATGGCGAAGGTATCTTTATCTCGTTCATTTTAGCCGGAGGTCCGGCCGATCTCAGTGGAGAGTTACGCAGGGGTGATCAAATATTAAGCGTTAATGGCATCAATCTCCGAACAGCTACCCACGAGGAAGCCGCCGCGGCCCTCAAGGTGAGAGATCTACTTTCTGGCGGCACGACACGACGCGCATAGTCCCCGGGGAATTCGAACTTTTCCGCAGAAAATGTAGACGGAAACCGCGATCTGTCGAAAATTTCCGATACGCGTCTCGTGAAATGTCTCGCTCAATTCAGTTCCAAGTTGAAGTTCCGCGATGAAGGGAATGTAAATGTTAACTTGACAGTTACCACGTTATATATTCGCAATCTACCCTCTTCGTAGCCCGAGACCTCGAAAATCAACGACGAGACTCTCTCGAAATGATACGTATATAGACATTATGTGTACTAAGGGTTATATACTATATTCGACATATTCGAAGCTTCGAAACTTCAAATCTCATTTATTTTATTTTGAAATAAATGCAAATTTTACGATGATATGTAACAGTGTAAAACAATGCAAGGAAAATTTGCATTCTTTAGGATAGTCAATATTATTTATACTATGCCAGAAAACGCAATAACACACGTATTTTCTATTAGTTTTGAAGTTTCAAATATTCAAATGTACAAATAACCGAATATCTGAATTCGAATGTTCATATTTCAAAATTTCATTATTCGAGTATAATGTATCGAAGGTTCAAAAATTCGGAGCTTCAAATATAATTTCTAGCCCTAGTATGTATACATTACATACGGATTTTTTATACGGCGCTTAGGGTACCGGTCAGACAGTGACAATCGTGGTGCAATACAAACCGGAGGATTATAACAGATTCGAGGCAAAGATCCACGATCTTAAACAACAGATCTCGCAACAGAATGTGATGACAGGCACCCTCATGAGGACCTCGCAGAAGAAGTCACTCTACGTGAGGTAATTCTTCGCGTTCGTGTGTCCCGGTATCTTCCGCGTTTGATTCGACGGCACGTAAAAATGTGACAATTTTCTTCCCGAAGAGCGTTGTTTGATTACGACCCCAATAAGGACGATGGTCTACCGAGTCGCGGCCTGGCGTTCCGCTATGGTGAGATCTTACACGTGACGAACGCCAGCGACGACGAATGGTGGCAGGCGAGGAGAGTCACTCCTCAGGGTGAGGAGGAGGGCCTGGGTATAATACCTTCGCGTAGACGATGGGAGCGCAAGCAGCGCGCCAGAGACCGTTCCGTCAAGTTCCAGGGACACATGCCGGTTATTCTCGATAAGGTGAGTCTGATGAATCTCCCCCGGGCGAGAGAACGCGATTCCCCTCGAAAATAACAATAAATCGCGAGAGACAATTGCGAACACGACGCTTCACTCGAGCAGCTGACGGGTCCGATTTTTCAAATGTGACGTCTGATTAAGAATTCGAATGACGACGTTCCTTCGCGTGAAAATTAAGAATTACATGGAAAACGCGTAATTTAATACGTGTAATTTAATAGGATCTACTACCTGGAAAAACTTGGAAAACCCGGAATCCTTAGGGGATTTACTAAAAATTAGGGAACTTTAAATAGACATTTGTCTGCATTTTCTACATTAAAAATCATAGAAAAAATAATTCAAGATTTTTTCGACTTTGATTTTTAATTAATTTTAATTTTAACTAATAAGGGATAGAGCTATGTAAATCGTAGGCACGTACTTATTAACAATCTGTATATACAATTAAGATTATTTTCAAGTTTCTGTTTAATATTTAAATGTTTAATTATATTGCTTTCTAATGTTTAAAGCACACTGATTATACGACTGATTCAATTCAATATTGAAGACGATTTCGTATTAGGTGCAATTTTGTTGCAATAAAACAAATATTTATTCTAATGGTTTTATAAAAGTTGAATATTTTGCACCGGTTATGCATTACATAATTTTTCATTTGTAACTGTTGAAAATAAAATTTGTGAAAATTTTATGTAATATAAAATATTAATTTTTTTAGTGTCCTTATTATTTCAAATTTAGTCATGAAATCCGAGTGATTATTAATTTTATTTTATAAACTTTTATGAATGGAAAATATTAAGGACTTTGCACAATAAGTATACATTTATTTGCAAGATACATTTAAAATATTTTCACTTTACCTGGAATGTTCAATAAATTGCCTGGAAAATCAGGATATTCTCAGGGAATTTTTTTCGGGTTTAAATAGACATCCTGTTTAAGAACGCTTTGGATTCCTATACAGATATAATTGGTAATCTCGTTTTAGTTGTATCCTTTTAACGAAATGAACTTCTTGTTCATATTTTTCTTACCGGGTCCGATTCATTTCACCAAAAATATTCAAGGTGAGACGTAGGTCGCGTGGTGTGGGCGAAGCGATAGACAACTCGATACGGCCGCTCCATCACTTTTCAAATTAATACAGAATTGGGAGATTTGACGAGACATCCCTTCGCGAGAGTAAACAGCAATCCCGCGTATCCCGTGACACCCGCTGTGAAGCGATTGGTAACGCGCGCGTAATCGAAAAAGCGTGTCCATCCTCCGACACTTCGCTTAGGCTCATTAACGCTAATGAGAGAGGGAGACGGCTAATCGAATATTCATCGCGATCGATAGCCGCACCGACCGTCACCACCTGCAAATTTGATACGGTCGAAGGTGAGAACTGGTGTATCTCTGTTCCAAACTCGCGCGCGCGACAAGATAGCCATTTCGGCCACGTTGCCGTCTAAATGGGACCTCGTTTCACTCGAGCGTATCGAGTGAATACACTTGACGAAATAATCTCGCTCGTTCCAACACACTAATCGTAACTGTGGCCGGGGCTGATTTCGCGATCGGCGATATTCTTGAATCGCGATGCTCTGCGCGACGCACCACGCAGTAAACTCGTTGCTTTCAGCAATCGACGTTAGACAGGAAGAAGAAGAACTTCTCGTTCAGCAGGAAGTTCCCGTTCATGAAGAGCAAGGACGACAAGTCCGAGGATGGCTCCGACCAGGAACGTGAGTGTCTTGAAAACGATCCTTTCGTCCTTCTCCTACCCTCGCCCCCACGCCTCCCACCTGCACGTTCTGTGCATGTTCTGACCCGTATTTAATGTGTTTTACGTGTTCTTTCTCGCCGTATGTATCCGCCTATTTATATACCGTGTACCATACGACTTAACCGCTGACTTTTATACGAGGTTATTACCCTCGTGCCGCCCCCCCCCCCCNGTTTTCGTGCATACATACATGTGTAATCGATGGGATCGATTTGAATCAATAATTCAAGCGCGCCGCCTTCTGTGACGAAGCCCGGAAAGTTTACTCGAGTTTACCTAGTTCAGGATGCGATGTTTAGAGAAGAACGTGTTCCTTTGTCGTTTCACCGGCGGGAGAAACTCTGTCTCGTTTCCTCGTAACGCCGTAAAATCACATGTTTTTTAACCAATTTTCAACGCGACATGGCAATTTCTAGTTTTTGCGATTTCACCCTCGATACATCGCGATCTCGTAGAAGTTTTTAAAAAGTACGTTCGTAACGAAGTTCTAAAGCAAGTGCAAATAGCGTGTTTCTTTCTTTCTCTCTCTGCCTCTCTTTTCATTCGGAGACGGTGAGAGCGTAATCGTTTTCACGCGCGAGGCTTGTCGATTTGGAAGTCCAACGGCGCGACGCGGTGACGAGGTCCAAGATCAACCCAAGTCCCGAATGAGCTTTTGTGTTTTTTACCATGTGAAAACGTGACATGTGTTTTTGTTTTGCCTGCTTGTGTAGGAACGCCCACAACACCCGAGAATGAGAACGATCCCACCCGTAAGTATTTTAATTAGTCAGTCAAGTAATAAGCTCTATGTTAAATGTGCGCTTCTACCCGTTTCCCATGCACGATGCGCCGTGATACGCCACGAGACGTCACAATCCAAACGCCAAACATTCGAATCAAGTTCCTTAGCGATCTATCGAACCAACGTAATTTCGATATCGGAGAGAAACGGTCGTGAGTTATAAATCACAGCGAAACTAATCCATGACACCAGGTGGAAACTGAAGCGGACGTTGCGAGAGGTTCGATATCGTCGGAATAATTTACTTAATAATCGAGGTGAAAAGTTACGAATCAATTGTGATTCGATAGAAATAAAAAAATTCAGATCGGGCTTCACGCCAGAAAGAGAGAGAGCGAAGCGATCGCGTATCTATATATATATATATATATAATAACTCACCTGATCGTGTCTCCTCTCCTCCATCGGGCCGGTGTTTGGTCGAAAGATTGGATCTCGCGATGTCGCGTTGCGGGCGATACCGTCGTTTGCGGCCAACCACCGTGTGCATCCATTCAGCTACCTCACAAGAGCAACCGCAGCGCGCTTCGCTCCCCCGGCACTCGGCTGCGCATGCACGCTGCACCTTGAACTTTTCTGCACCGCACAACGCATCTTTGTACTAACAGCCGGTTCGACACACGTTATCTACGCTCTCGACTCCGCTTCTAACTTTTGGCTTTTTTCATTACTGGAGGATCATGAGTAGTCTGTAGCGGTCCAGCACGTCCACAGCGAGGTGTTCCTCTCAGACAATAGCTCTCTCTCTCTCTCTCTCTCTCCATTTCTCTCTTTTCTTCCTCTCTCTCCCTCTCTCTCTCTCTCTCTTTTTCTCTGTTCCTCTACTCTACTCTCTTTTTCACTCTTTCTCACTCCTCTCCTACGAAAGGATAGTAAACGCGATAGAAACGCAACCTATCATCTCTCATGGATCGTGTCACGAAGCACGCCATCGTCATCCTCCATCAGTTACACAGCGACACTCTGGCATCAAAAGATCGCGAAAGACATGTCTAACCCGCTAGATGCATGTATGTGGCAGTATCGTTGTTAGATCGAGAAGTTCACACGCCGCTCCTCGAGGAGATAGGAATCGCTGCTCGATTTCAGACACGCAGACAGACGCCCGTCGCGTAATCGACGGCGAGATGAGGAGTATATTTCAGTCTCGGGTCGCACACAGCTGCCGATGTCTCTCCGATTCTTCGTATTTTCTTTCTCTCAGTCGCGATGTTTACAAGCATGAGTGAGAATGAATTAACCCGCCGATGTCGTGAAGAAAAAAGCAAGAAAAATACACGCGTTAACGATGCATACCGCGCCATATTGCGCTTCCGCGAGCGAATCGGAAAACAATCGTTCCATCGATCGATTGGGTGTCACAGTCGTTGTAACTAATCCAATGACTATGGCGGGAAAGCGGATTCGGATTTATCCGCGAGACTCGTGAACGCACAACTTCATGTTCCTCATCGAATCCACTCATGCCGGAATCGCGCGCAGTAGGAGAATCTCGTGTTTTAGCGCTTAATTAATTTCTAGCGATAATTAACGGCCGCTTACTAGTACGCAACGTATACTGAAATATTCAACTTGTTATGTTCTAGCATTCATGCTGTGCTACACCCAGGACGACACTAACACTGAAGGTAATCATGTCTCTCTCTCTCTCTCTCTCTCTCTCTCTCTCTCTCTCTTTTTTCTCTTTTCTCCTCTTTTTCTCTTTCTTCGCTTCGGCTCTTCTTCTGTCTCTCTTTGACTCTCCTCTTTTTCCTTCCTTTTCTTCGCACTTCTCTCTCTCTTTCTCTCTCTCTCTCTCTCTCTCTCTCTTTCTTCTTCCTGTTCTCTTCTCCACACTAAAGAGATATGCCTGGGTCAGCTATGCGGGATTATGAATTTCGGTCACGATATCGTTGCGCGATTACGAGCACGGCTACAGCTTAATGTGATTATAATATCGGCACGAGAATTACATTAGTTTTGATTGTTACTATATCCTAGATCCACATTGTTTAATATAAATTTGATTGTTTAATACACTCTAACGTTAAATGTAGTTTACATTTGTCGAACAATTGGATGGATAATGTTTGAACGTAGTCGCGGAACGTCCATCAGCCGAAAATCTGAAAACATCCTTTTCTATTGATCCACCGTGTCATCCTCACGATGATCAATCATGCTTGCATTCACCTGGCAATAATTCAAGAAACAAATATGTCGACCTTTGTCGTCGCCATGGGCAGCGCATAGTATATCCGTATCATTTGATTCTGAGATGGTGGCGTGCGAGATTGTAAAGTCAACTCGAAATCCTCGTTCCTTGATAATGATACGCTATTGAATTATCATTTTGATTTATCTTCAAATATATGAAGTAGAGAAGTCGCATACCTCGTAAATTCGAGTTAGAGGCTTCGAGAACCGCCGCTCTGATTTCGAGTCGACTCTCATAGATCGCTCGCTGATTTATTGCGAGTTCCTCGCCGCGAGTACCGCATCGGTGCAGGCAATTCGCGAAGAGACTTTCCGCTCTCGTAAATCCAACCCTAGGACTACCTAATTACTCTTCTGGCGTTTTTGCTGCGTCTTCACGCCGCTCACATTCATTTACGTTGTCCTTCTCTTCTCTTATTCATTCAAGATCTGTCTTCCGCCGCAGGGAGTAGAGAAATTTTGTATCGCGTTCAGCTGCCGTATATGGAGGAACTCACGTTAGTTTATCTGGAAAAGGAGGGCGATGAGCCCAATGACGAGCTTAGTAAGTCGTAGCCGAGAGCAGATGTGTGAAACGGAATGAGCGCGCGCACACATTGCCGATTTGTCTCTTATAGACGACTAACTGATCGCAGCATCATAACCCTGCCGACGGGCGATTCTCCCGAGAGAGAGATGCTCTCGGGTGCAATGACTGAAATATGTTGTTTGTAACACCGGTTTGTGCCAGCTAACGAACTCTGATCCCGATCTCGGGGATCCCCCCATTAACGCTTCCCACGCTCCTCGCCACTAGCTAATTACACGCGGATCGCGGTCGTGGAATTTGTCTGAGCGCGGCTGCGGTTACACGGAGCAAGTACGGCGGCGGCGATTCGGACGATGGAACAAAGGACGAAAGATATTTCATCGATGTTCTTCCTATTTCGTATCATCGATTATTGATTCGTCGATTGTGCTCTGTCTATCTCGTACAGATTCGTGTCAATTGACCACACGTGGGGTTCCTTCCAACGAGAAAACATGGAAAGACACTATTGGTCTTTTTTTTTAGCTGAATTGGCTGCATTTCGAGTTCAAGAAATTCACGCACACTGAAGCATGAGAATTTTGTACATATGCTTCTTACGCTTCAATGTATATATACATTTCCTAAACTCTCTCTCTCTCTCTCTCTCTCTCTCTCTCTCTCTCTCTCTCTCTCTCTCTCTCTNCTCTCTCTCTCTCTCTCTCTCTCTCTCTCTCTCTCTCTCTCTGTCTCTCTTTCTCTCTAGTATAGCCAATTCAACCAAAAAGAACAGACCATATGTCACACAATTGAATACAATGCATGAATACTTGATAGAACACCTTAATTTTCGAAACAGTCGCTAGTTGGTAATAATATTCTAGATATTAGCAAATATTATATATAATGTTTTCGAGTGACGCAGAATTTGATCGATTCACGAGCAATTAATAGCGTCACAACCAACCTCCTCCAGCCAGTTACAGAACTTAAAACGTTATTAATCGCTCCTGGAGCGGTTCAAGTTTACTTCAAAAGAAAAAGTTAATAGTTTTCATCATCAATTATAACTCTTACTTATTGCTGTCACCCAAAGATATTCGCTGGTTGGTAAAACATGAACGCCGTAGAGTATCAACTATTCTGTTACTACAATGCTGATATGCATTTTGAGCTTATATTTTATCGTGATAAATATCGCGCATAGGAGAACTCAGAAGAGTCCAAGGACTCAAAAGAGACATGAAGAATCGCTACAAAGAGGGGGAAACTAATCCTTGGGTACATTTAATGCTATACACACAAATGTTCGACTCTGCAAATGAACTGCTCTGCAGCTGTGTCAACTTGCGTCATGTTGTGTGTATAGGAAGGTGTTTGGGTCAACACTGTGTGTCACACTGTCTCTCTCGTTGAAAGGCGCGACTTGGACGAATTTAGTTTCGGACAGCAAGAGTCGTGGACTGAAATCGCAGAGAGCGATCGCAAATAGAACCCTCCTGTTCGCGGAGTTAATCGAGAAAACGTCCGTCTCGATTTGGACGCCGTCGCGCTAATTCCCCCGAGCTCTTCGCGCGAAATCACTGAACGGGAACGTGCTCCTGTTGTGCGTCGAGGCGTCTCACGCAATCGAGCCGGTGCGTGCCCGTGTTCTGTTTTCTCGTTTTTTCGTCACCGTCCGTTCGTAGCCGTCGCGGGCATTAATGGCGGGCGTGATTAAAGCGCACAGATAGACTGAGGAATCAGTTCCGTCGTGTTCGAACGTCGTCGTCCCGGCTGAAACCTGAAGCCGACGATTCACTTGGTGCGCATTGACGTCGAGTTCGCCGGCGGCAAGCGGGTGACGCGAGCGCGGTATCGATCACGCGAATAGAAAAGAAAGAGCCCTCTCTGTCCTCAAGTACCGGTACAGTCGCTCTATACATACTAACTCGCCACACGCACCCCTGACGTTCCCTAAGTCTCGCTTGAGTTCTAGTCTAGCCCTATTAGGAGGTAGCTTACCCCCCCCCCCCCAA